TTCCGTTAAAAATCAGTTAGTTAGATGTTAATTTAGAGGCTAAAATGGTATTTTCCTTGGCTAGTTCTCTCTCCTTCCTCCCTTGTCCAACCAGCAGTCCTAGGCTTCTTCTCCTACGATCTTCCCCTCCTTAAACCAAACAGCCTTCCGCCCATTAAAAAAATACTATACCTTGCCAAAAGGCCACTAATCTGTGTAGAGCTGCTATCCTGTCTCCAGGTGTCACACACACACACACACACACACACACACACACACACACACAGAGATTTTGAATCCGGTGCACCCCCCTATTTAGGTGTGTTTGTGAGTTGTAATCTGGGCCCTTCGTTATAATCTTTTAACGATACGGATGAATATTTTTATTTAGGCGTGTGTTCTCCTTATTAATAAGCTGAGGGGGTATTGTTGTCTTTTGCACTGGGTCCATTTATGTTAAGCCCTTGATTCGCGCGTGGGTGGTGTCGTGTCACACATTAAATTAGGGGTCTTGTCCGTTTCTCTCACTTTGCCGTCGTTTCAAAGGAGTAGCTTCATCGTGAAGGGTCTTCATCATTCGCGTAGACGAGGGGGTTTGTCGCAGGTTCTTCTCCAGTCGAGGCGGGTGTGTATTGCTTGTACCGGCGTTGGTGATGGCAGGGTCGAGGTCGAGGAGTGCGAAGCGGCGTAGGGGTGTCGGGCCCGTTCCTATTCCAGGTATTAACCTTTTATACTTGTTTTTTCGGTTGATCGTATGTTTTTTTTTTTCGTTTCGTGCTTATCTTCTTGTGTTTCTTGGCTATGGAGTAGTGCGTGTCTGGTGTGGGGGTGTGGGGGTGTGGGTTTACTGATTTGGGGTTTGTTGGGGTTCCGGGTTGGGTGTTCGGGTTCTTTGTTTTTTTTTTTCCTGTAATTTCTGATGTGGGTTTTGTGGGTTTCTCATTTGGGTGATGTGTGAGGGTCCTGGTGGATGGGGTATCGGCCGGTACGGGGAGGGGGGGGGTGGTTTTTTTTTGGGGGGGGGGGGGGGGGGGGGGGGTTTGTGGTGATGGGGGGCCGGGTACGGGTCGTATGGTCTATCTCAGGGTTGGTATGGGTGTGTGTGTGGGGGGGGGGGGGTTTGTTGGTGGTTCAGTTCACCGCTCTATAGGGGTGGGGGTGGTGGGTTGTATGAGTATTTGCATGTGTCGGGGGTGGGGGGTGGGGGGGGGGGGGGTGGTCAGCCTATTTCGTTGTTTGTGGAGGGGGGTGGTGGCCGGACTGGTGATGCCCATGGATGGGGGGTCGGGGATTGCGGTGTTCATGGTGTTTTTGGCCGGGGTTACGGTGGGCATTTTGGTATTTGTTATTATTGTTTTTTTAATTTGTTGGGGGGGGGGGGGGGGGGGGGGGGGTGTTGTGGGGTTCATGGTTTGTGCGGGTTGGGATTGCAACTATGTGCGTATTATTTTTTGTTGGAACTTGGAATTACTGTTGAATGCATCATTACTTCTATTTGTTCACTTCCAGCATGCGTAGATATAGCTCTACCCATATATTTTTCGACATTGTTGGTATATTAGTTTCAGTCCACAAAAAAAAAAGAGTAAAATTTTAAGGTTATTATTCTGTTTATTGTAATCAACTTTTGTTACGTGTGTATGTCCGTGTTTAAGGTGGGTTTAGGGTGTAGAATTTTTTCATTTTTATCGAAAATTGAAAACGGATTCTAATACCCCTAGTTTTATCTTGGTTTAGTACAGTCTTGGTATGGTGTCATCCCATGCTATAATGATAATGGATTACTCACAGTATCATTATAAACATGGTGTGTGCGTTTTAGGGTGTCACCTTGTGCATATTCTTCTTTTATGGATTTTTGACATTACTGTTGAGGTGGTCATTTCGTGTTTGTATGGTGGTGGTGGATTAGACCATTTTTTGTGTTTATGTGTATGGGATGCTGCGTGTTGTGGAGGCGCAGTGGTCTTTGTTTGTTTGTTTTTTTTTTTTTTTTTTTTTTTTTTTTTTTTTTTTTTTTTTTTTTTTGGTGGTGTGTGCGTTTGCAGTTTAGTGGGTGCATGTGTGGTATTCGTTGAGTTTTGGTGGGGATTGTGGGTGTTTCTTGTTGGGAGCTAACAGGATTTAGGTTTCTTTGGGTGTTTATGTGGTTGTGGTTTATGTCGTGTTGGTATGTGCGTTTGCAGGTTAGTGGGTGCATGGGGGTAGAATCCGAAGAATTCTGGTGTCAGTTTTGCTCGAGACTGCTGCGCCCGGTGTTGCGGCAGATGTGGTGACAGATTTGCCTGAGACTGATGCGGGTGAAATACCAACTGAGCCGGCACGTCAACCCCCGGATTCGGATGATTCGGATGTCCAGCCCGACGAAGTCGACCATGGTTTATTTCCTCCATTGAAGATCCGTGCTTCGCCCACGCATCTCGTGAAACCAATGAAGCGATTCGGTGCTCGCCAACGGAAAGCCGTTTATGAGCTGGGTTTGGGGGCACTGTTCAACCTTGATATGCATGACATTCCGAAACCGCTAGCTAGGTGGCTGCTTTAAAACTTTGATCCGGATGAGATGTGTTTGCGTGTGGAGAATGGGGCTATTATTCGGGTTACGGAGGCAGATGTGCATCTGGTGTTAGGTCTGCCCGCCGGTGAGATTGTTATTTTCAAAAGGGCTAAAGACGATATCAGCGACGCCCTTAAGGAATGGCGTTGGAAGTTCGAGAAGGTCAATCATGCTGTTACACTGCCTATGATTGCCACTAAGATCAAGACCCAACTTGAGGGCGATGTGTGGTTCAAGAGAAACTTTGCGATGCTGGCAATCAGTATATTGGCTTCTCCCATGATGAATGGATATGCAAATCAGCGGGTGTATCACCACTTGGAGGACGTGGATGAGGTTAAGAACCTTAATTGGTGCAAGTTCGTTATTGAGTGTTTGGTTCATCGGCGGAGGAATTGGTTCAAGAATACCAACCAGCCGTTCTCGGGCCCTACTGTTTTCTTGTTGGTATGTTATAATTCTTGTTTGTGTTTTATTTGTTTTTGGTGCGTATCAATGACTCCTCTCCGGTCTTGCAGCTGCTGTATGTGGATAGACTTGTACACGGAGAGAGGGTTGTGCCTCGTGCGATGCCAGCATGTCGGGGGGGGGGGGTGGTCCACTAGGCTTTTAAAGGCCCGAGAACTAGATGAGTTCAGGTGTGGCGGGTTTGGACGGGGTGAGGTGGTTGGACCGTTCATTTCGCAGGTATTATTAGTGCAGTCACTTTTATGCTGTTTACGTGTCTTGTTTAATTAAAGATTATCCTTAGATGTGTGTTTTATCATTGTGTTGGGGGTAGGATCACGATGAAGAGGGTGGTCTCAATGAACATGACGTTCCTGCTCCTGAAAAGGTAATTGTTTCATCTTTTGGAAAAGGGGTTTATTTCGGGGGTGGACGGGTGTACCGTGATTTTTGGGTGTTCGGTGTGTGCGGTCCGTACGTGTTTGCGAGTCAGTTTGTGCGTACAGAGCTGCCAGTTAGTGCATAATGCTTTTATGTATGGTGTGGGGGGGGGGGGGTGGGGTGTTGTGATGGTCATGCTTTTTGGTGTTGTGTTTCTGTTTGTTTTTATAATGGATAATCTTTCCAGAGAGGGGGGGGGGGGGGGGTGGTTTGCTGGTGTTATTGTTTCATTATTTTTTCCAAGTATGCCATGCGTGTAATTGATTTGGGGGGGGGGGGGGGGGGGGGTGATGAAGTATTCTGTGTTTGAAGCTTTATGTAATATCCGTTTCTGTGTATAGAACCTTCGATTGGGTTTATAGCTTGTAATTCTTGTGTTTGCTATTCCGTGTGGGGGGGTAGGTTTTGGGCATGCTATTGATGTGCTTAAATGGGGTGGGGTGGGGGGGGGGGGGTGTGTGTTTTTGGTCCGTAGTGACCTTTCCTTTTTTTTTTTTTTTTTTTTTTTTTTTTTTTTTTTTTTTTTTTTTGGGTGTTGTGTGATGAGGTTGGCATGCGTCCGTGGTTTATTTGTTGTGTGGTAATACCATTCGTTTTTACAAGTGTGCTATATGCGCATGGGGCAGGAGGTGAATGCAGTACAGCATGACCGTGGTTTTTATATTGTCAGTATGGGTTTGTGCGTGACTAGCCATTACTTTGTGCATGTTAGGTTTGTCCAGATGGGGCGTTGGGGGGGAGGGGGGTGGGGGTGGGTGGTGGTCATGCTATTAATGTGCTATCCTTGTTCGAGGGGTGTGTCATTGTTCCGTATTGTTTTTTTTTTTTTTTTTTTTTTTTTTTTTTTTGTTGTTGTTGTTGTAATGATGTTGGTTCGGTGCAGGTAATGTTGTTTGTTTTTGTTTTATTATTTGGACGAGCATGTGTGTGCGTACAGGGGGTGGGGGGGTGGGGTGAATACGTTATAGTATAAGCATGTGTGCCTTCTCTTATTATTGGATGTTGGCATGCCGTGTGCGTGTGGGGGGGGGGGGGGGGGTATAGTGGTTGGTGCATTGTCGCACAATCTCCATTTTGTGTATTGATGCAGACTGTGGTCGAGATTTATGCTAAAAAGGCCGATGCTGTAGCTGCAGCTCTTGACGATTTGGTGCTCTTTATGGACCACCATGATGACCACCCAGGACCGACGGAGGGCTTTCTTAGAGTTGTTGCAGGTGCTTGGAGGATAATCTTGCTGGCTGATCAATTTGGTTCCACCAGTGGTGCACCGTCTGGTGGTCTGGGAGGGGCTGGTGCGCTGAGCGGTGATGATATCTGGGACAACCCGGAGAACTTTGAGACGGTCGATGCGGTTGTTAGTGCCGTTCAGTAGAAGTCTACTGTCGATGAAGTCCCACCATCTGATGCGGGGTTAGACCAGCAGGATCCCGTCGGGCAGCAGGCAGATGTTGCGGGGGATGCGGGTCAGTGCGTTGAGACTGCCGGTGATGCTCCGACTGAGGCGGGGGATGGAGGGGGTATGCCCGATTAGGGGTGGAAATAGGCCAGGCCGAGCCAGGCTTTTAAAATTTAGGCCTGGGCCTGTTAGGAAAAGCTAAGGCTTGAGCCTGGGCCTGGGCCTGTATGTAGGTTTTTTTTTAGGCTCAAGCCTGAGCCTGCAGTTGGCCTAGCCTGGCCTGAAGCCTTTTTAAAAGCCTATTTACTAAATAGGCTTTTAAAAAGGCTCCAAAGTAGGTTCTAAATAGGCTTTGGGCCTATTTAAATAGGCTCAAATAGGGGTGTAAATGAGCCGAGCTGCTCGCGAGTCGCTCGTGAGCGGTTCGGTTAACGCTCGACTCGAACTCGGTTAAAATCGAGCTCGGCTCGAGCTCGAGCAGCTCGTGGATTAAACGAGCATGAGCCGAGCTTAGGTATTGTAGGCTCGCGGCTCGACGAGCCGTTCGCGAGCCTTATAATATATTATATAATATATAATATGTAATATAATTATATTATATTTAGTATATAAAAATAATAATTAGGGGAGTGAAATTAAAATACTTTAATAATTATGTATGGATAAAAGTCATAAAACAAAGTAGTTTAAGTTTTGAATCAAACAGGTCAAATTTGATATCAAAATTGACCTCAAATTCGAGCATAAACTCGAGCTCGAACAATCGAGCTGCTCGAGCTCGAGCTTGAGCATCAATTCACGAGCTCGAGCTCGAGCTCGAGAAGTGCTATCATTAACGAGCACGAGCATGAGCCTACCCAGGCTCGGGCTCGGCTCGGCTCGTTTAGGCTCAAAGCCTATTTAAAGCCTTTTAATATATATACGTGTAAAAAATAATCATATTATTAAATTAAAATTAACCAATAATCATAAATGACAAAACCAAGTTCATACTTTATAATAAAATGTCTAACAACAGAAGTTTAATTAGGAGTTCATAATACAAAAATCGTACTAAGTTTGATAACTTCAAATCATAAATCCTCAATACAAACATGAAACATTAAACATAATAACAACAATAGTATTAAAACATAAAATGAAATAAGTCATGGCTTCAACATAATCTCCTCTTGTCCAGAATCTCCCTACACAATGAAAAAATTGAGAATAAATAATAAAGTCCATTACAAGTTCAAGTGTTCATAATTCATAAATCAAAATATTAAAGTAACAAGTAGTAATATAAAATACACAATTTTATAATTTTACTTGCACAGTACAAAATTTTATAATTTTACTTGCACATTACTGCTTCTAATATATATATATATAAACAATACTTGCAGTAAACATGAAACCTAAATTATTACTGCTTTATATATATATATATATATATATATATATATATATATATATATATATAAACAACACAAAATTAAAAATTTATATGTATATTAACACTCAGGCAGTAAACAGTAATATGTATACAGACTACAGTATAGTTCATTCGCATAATAAGCATAAACACACTCAGGCAGCCAGTAAGTTCACCCAGTATATATACTATATTAAGAAAATAAGAAGACTACACTAAACAGTTTATATTACTAATCAGTTTATTACTAAATAGAAGTGCAGAACTAATCAGTTAAATAATACTAAACAGAAGTACAGAACAAAATTACTGATAATTGGTAAACAATACTCCCTTTCAAAAAAAAAAAACCCAAAATTAAACACACAGAGCAGATTTATAAACAATACTCCGTACTCCGTAAGTTCATACACAGAGCAGATTTAATTTATAAACAAATTAAACACAAAATCATTACTTCTTTTATATATATAAAAACAACACAAAATTATTACGGCTTTCAAAAGCCCATCTGAACACTCAGGCAGCCATAAATCTGCTCTAACCTCTAAGAGCATTCGCATAAACATATTCACAGCCTCGCAGGCAATACTTCTTCACTGCCCGATGCTGTAAGTAAGGTTGTTCGCTGTCATAGGAAAAGGAGGCGGTATTAGTTTTGGAGTGGGTGGTCCAGTATGTTTTTGGGTTGGACTTTTTTTTGCTAGTAGGGGTCGGGGTTTGATGTGTATTTTGATGGCATGGATGGTTTGCAGTTGTATCGGTGACATGTTGGTAACTATGTATATTTTTTGGTACTGCACGGTGTGTATGCGGGTGCAGTATGGTTGGTGTTATGCGTACATGTGATGTCTACTTACATGTTTTTATTATTGCGTTCTTTCCTTCGGTGTCCAATTAGGTATGGTGTTTTGTATATATGGGGGAGTTTGTATGACTGGTTTTTTCATTTATTAGGATGATGCATTCCGCCCATCGTTCAGTCTTGGGTTGTCTCAGCAATTTTCGTGTGTGGGTGATGGTTTGTCGCAGGATCTGCCTTCCCAATGTTGGGATGTGGTGGACGCGATTGTTCGTGAGTATAACGCACACTCAACGAATGTAATGCCTCGGGGGTGCTCTTTGGCCCCATGTGATCCAGTAAGTGTGCTTGGATATGTTCCGATCCTTTTAAAATATATTTAATATTTGGTTTGTGCGTATACCAGTGGGGTTTACCCAGCATCATTTATCTTTTTATTTTGTGGCGGTAGGTTGGTGCTCCCGGCACTCTTTCGCCTGGTGCTCATGTTACCGGTTCTTTGTGCGATGATGTTCGCGGACGAGCTTTTACAAAACGTCTTCGTCGAGGGGGGGGGGGGGGGGGGTTAATGTTGATGCCGTCACCCTATTCACCCCTGATGAGGTATGTTGTGTAATGGCGTTTACATTTCTCCAATATATGTTATTCTATGTGGAACTATTATTTTTTTGTTACACATTGCGGTGTTGGGGGATCGGTTTGCTGTGCAGCGTATTCGTCTAGGGACGCGGCCTGGTAGCTCCATAGCTGATTATGAACGGTGTCGTGCACCAACAAAGCAGTCCCGTCAGCCGTTAAATAATGTTCGCGCGTTGAGGACTCTTGACTTGAATTCGTACGAACATCGGACACGCTCACGTGCTGTACACGCTGAACATGCGCAGGGACCTGGTGCGCAAGATGTTTACGATTGGATTGCTAGATCGGGGCGTGCTGACATGTATTTCCGTTGTGATAACTTCAGTTTTTATTTCCTATTTTACGTGTGATATGATTTTCCTTATTCTGTTGGGGTTTTATAAACAGGGAAGAGGTGTTGTTTCTTTGGTGTGGTCGGTCAGCACGTCGGGTTGAGTTTGTCTCTCTGGTGGAAGGTAATGAAGTGTTAGTGGGCATATTAAACGCGTGGACTTGTGTGTTATCTTATAGGGAAATGTCAAAGGTTGCTGGTGAACCGTCTAGGCTTTTCGTCTCCACGATGACTACGGTTTGTCTCTAATTGTCATTTTTTGATCTATTCATTTTCCATGTTCCGGTGTTTAGATTTTGGGTGGTTTTTTAACATTGTAGTTGTACACTGTGGTTGATGTTTCGGCTCCTCGTGGAAGTCGTTTACAGATAGCATGCAGGACGAGTTGAAGTTGTCGCCTTATAATTCATGGGATGATATAGACATGGTTCGTTAACTTTTGTGTCCATTTAGTGAATGCGCATCTGCCATCCTTTATTTTTTAAAATGGGTTTTGTTGCATTTCTTTGTGCTGCAGTTTTTTTTCCCCATACTTCAGGCGCAGCACTACTATGTCGTTTTAGTGGATTTCAGGCGTATGCGGTTTGACGTCATTGATAATTCCTCCGCGGATGATCCGTCACTCAACAAATATGGTCATACCCTAACGGTGTTGGTAGGTGCAGTCGGTGCATATGTTCTTTTTATTTGTTGTATACCTTCATTTTTTTTTTGTTTGGGTTCCCGCAGTAATACATGCTTTCGTTGTTTGCGTTTTAAATGTTTGGGGGTTTTTTTGTAGCATGATTTGCTGACCGTTTTCTTTGAGGATGTGGGGGTGATCGCATTGTATATGAAGGCTTCAAAATTGGTGCCTCGTAGAGTTCGTTTACCGTGGCGAGATGCAAAGAACAAAGTCGATTGCGGTGTGTTTGCCATGCGTCACATGGAGTGTTATGTTGGGCAGGCGTATTCTACATGGGATTGCGGGCTACGTAGGGGTGATGCGCGTGCCTTAATAGAATTACGCGTCAGGTACATGTTCGATATTTTGTTGTTCCAACGCAACACGCATAGAGCCGCAAATGTCGCCCGTGTTAAGAGCTCGATTGCTGCGGGCCGTTGAAGGGCGCTCGTTTGTTTCAATTTTTTTTTTTCATCATTTCGGATTTCCTAATAATGTGGTGTTAGACGCCTGTCCCCATTTCCCTGTTGTGTGGTGTTTTTTTTTGGATTTCCACGTAAACATTTCCGTATTAATGATGTTCGTTCATGTTGCATTTATTTTTCTAGCGGATGCGCCAATATCGGTATACATGCACATGCCTACAATAAGAATACGCACCGACTTTTACGTTTTTTTTTTTTTTTTTTTTTTTAAATCTCCCCAATTTGCGGCACTACGCAAATACTAATCCGCCATGCATTTGTTTGATTAGTTAACCAATGGGACCCGACGCTTTCAGATGATGACCATATCAGTCTATTAATACTTTCGAAAACTCATTGTTTACGCACATGCGTAATTTACAGTCACGCACTGGGTTTTTTTTTTTTTTTTTTTTTTTTTTTTTGTTTTCCCGTTTATCTTTTTTTTTTTTTTATTTTCGGTATATGTCAGTGGCCTGTCGCAAAAAGTTCTCCCACATCCGTTTATCCATCACCGGACCACTATGGTGCTAAACTCTCTTTTTGGATAAAGTATTAACGCTTTTATCTACGCACATGCATACTGTACAGTCACGCGCCGGATGTTTTTTTTTTATTTTTTATTTTTTAAAACATTATTATTTCCAAAAACTGTGAGTGGTACTTCGCAGGAGGTTTTCAGACATCCATGTGTCCATCATCGTACCACTATGGTGCAAAACTCATTTTCTCGATAAAGTAGTAAATCACTATTTACGCACATGCATAGTTTACAGTCACGCACCGGAGTTTTTTTATTTTATTTTTTAAGAACATTTTTATTTACGGAATCTGAGAGTTGCATTGCGCACAAAAGGTCTCCCACATCCATTTGTCCATCATCAAACCTCTATGGTGCTAAACTATCTTTCTCAATAAAGTATTAAATATTTCGCTCTCAATAAATGTTGGGGGGGGGGGGGTGATTGCATGCAATAGCTTCAATGTAAATGTTTATTAACTCGTAATTCTGTAATAACGTCAAAACAATTGTGCACGAACTAACATTTAAGGATATAAAAATATTTCTATTTATTTGGGCAGCTTCGACTGTTGTGCCCGGTTGCGAGTCCACATGTTTTACATGTTCGTTTCTTCTTATTTTTCTCCTTCATTGCGATTTCTTTAGCCGTCCTCATTCGCTTCCCCGGCCCTTTAATACTTGATACTGCGGGGGGATGCACGGTGATTGTGTAAGGTGTGGGTGCACCACAAAATGTCTCTTTGATCGATCGTTTTCCTTTCTCTACAACCACGTCGTCTTCACCGTCGATGCACCATGTGGACTCAATCTCCTTTAGCGCATTGCTTATTTGTTCTAGCTTCGTGGAATCTCCTTGCGCCATGGCTATACACCTATACACTGTGTTCAGCACGTTACTTTCTTCTTTGTTGCCTCGTGCTTTGGGGTTGCCACGCTGAAGCATATCATTGCACGTTTTTATTGGTGAAGAGGTTAGTGCGGTTCGTGTCCACCGGGGGGGTGATATGTTGCGGGGGTATATCCTCGTTCCTGTCATATATTAACACTGCAAACGCATGGCTGCACAACAGTCCAATCCGGTTGTACATTCGGCACTCGTAGGTTGTCGTCCTTGTCCCATGTTCAACGAACACCGTGTATCGTACCTCCTGCTCATCCTCGACCTCATATGTGTTCCCGGCCTCACCGTGTGTGACAGCACGGACCCGGCAATCAAAACATCCGGCACATATCCCCTTCTGCACATCATAAAACACAGTTAATGTATATAGTGAAGCTGCTGCTCGCTCAATGCGCAATTGGGTTTTGTAGGGGGGTGTTTGCGCGATGCTGGCACCGTTTAGCTCGATTTGTGTTAGGCGTTGCTTTCTAATTGTACTCTCTATCCTGTTAAAAAATTCCGAAACACAGAGATGTTTGCTAGTGTTGCTTTTGAAAATCCGGTTCTCTGCTTCAGAGCGTGAGGTTGTACGCACTAGCCCGCCCATAAAAACACCTTCAAAACATGCAGGGATCCACGATGCGCGCTCGTCGTACATACGGTTTAGCCATGGATTTTCAATTAAGCCAAATTTTTCCATAACTCCTTTCCATGCAACCTCAAATTTGGCGGTAGTCAAGCTGTCATTCCAAATGACATCATTCAGCTCTCGTCGGAATGCTTCATTTTTGGCTAATTCAGGACTCACTTTATCGCTAACCTTCGCCATTATATGCCACATACAGTAACGATGGCGAGTTTCTGGGAATTCTCGTGCAATTGCAACCTTCATCGCCGGGTCTTGGTCGGTTATTGTGAGTGGTGGTGTGCTTCCCATTGCGTTTCTAAAGTTCTTTAGTATCCAATAGTACGAGTCGACATCCTCTCGCGCAATCAGTGCTGCTGCGAATGTTACGCATTTTTTATGGTGGTCTATACCAGTGAATGGAACAAACACGAGACTGTACCTGTGTCACGACGAAATGTGTTAACTACTACGCATATAACACGCACTGTGTTTACGCGCGTATATTACTGTGGGTAAAAAAATAACGTATATCAACTGTAAAAGACAGGGTTACATACTGTGAAATAAAAATTCCATAAATTTTTCAGATTTTTAAGGTAGCAAATCATCTGAACCATTCATATCCATATCAGCCCAATGCACATACTGTCGACCTCACACGCACTACAGTAAGTTTACAAACATGTACACGCACCAACGTTACAGTTATACGGATTTAACTACATAAACATAGGGGTGTAAATGTAAGGGGTTTTGCATCCCGTAATTCAGGTGCGTACCTGTTAGTTTTGTATGTAGCGTCAAATGACACAACATCTCCGAAAACACTATATTGCTTTCTTGCCATACCGTCTGCCAAGAAAACACGTGCCAACTGGTCATTCTCGTTTGCCTCGTATTCAAAATACATATCGTCATAGTCCGATTTCAGATCGAGGTATTTGGATATAAGCATTTGTGCATCTCCTCCTTGCATGTACGCCAGAATCTCCCTTATGTAGTTCTTGAAGTCTTGTTGTGTCGCTCCCACGTTTTCAACTCCACCCACCATCTCGGCGTACAGGTCATGACTTTTACTAGCCCCAATATTGACTTTTGAGCAGTTCGCGATGAATTGTTGGTGGCCAATATCTAGTTTCCTGTTCCCCTTCAAGAAAGATTTGTAACTCTCCTCGCACAAACAGTGAGTGTGCCCCTCTTCAAACTTCTTGACCACGTACTTTCCCATACTGTCTCTTCTGAAAACTATTTTGGCCATGCACCCAACTCTGTTGGACGGGCGTCGTCGTTTTGTTTGTGTGGTGGTATTTTGTTTTGTTGTGGTGTTTGGTTTTGCATCTTTATACCCTTCACGATTGCACACTAGTTTATTCTTCAGGATGATCCCGTACCTGTTCTTTATGTCGGAACTCTTGCGCACATCAAACCCAGTTACGGATGCATATGTTTTGTAGTACGCAATACCATCTTCCAATGTAGCAAACACCTGGTCGACAGCTGGTTTTATTGATGGGTCACATTCCGTAACCCAAATGCTCGTGCCGTTTTGGGATTCATCCATCACACAGTGTTGGCTTTTCTCTCCTTCTTCCATGCTTATGTCACCTGCGTAACGTTTATCAATTTCACCCCGTCATTAAGTGAGTGTAAAGTGGTTGTACTTGGGTTTTAAAACCATACCGGTACTCACGCACCGGCTAACAATTTAACAAACACAAATATCACATTCTTATCAAATTAAGGCGTCATGCACAAAGAAACAGCATACAATGCATCCACTCACACAGTGGGTTATCTTCCACCGCCGTATACTGCCACGTTGCAATTCAACAACCACCACCACCGTAGTTTAGGTATCGTGCACAAGGCTTCATACTGCCATGCAACCACTCATGTAAAACACAACTCAATATAAAAAAAGACCAAATTGTTTACGTGTCAGAATAGGCATGGTGCTCAGGGTTTCATACTGCCATGCGACCACCCATATAAAACACAGCTATATATACACAAATACCACATTGCTGACGGATCAGTATAGGCATGATGCACAAGGCTACAAACCACCATGCAACCACCCATATAAAACACAGCTCAGTGTACACAAAGACCACATTGGTGACGGATCATGGTAGGCATGATGCACAAGGCTTCAAACTACCATGCACCAGCTACCACAACCGTACTTGGCATCTTCGCATTCTGACATACTATCATGCATCAACCAACACCACCACAATTAAGGCAATACGCACAAGTATAAATACTTCCGTGCAACCATGAAACCACACACACTCGTCTCAATCTCAGATATACGCACAAACACCCATACAATTTGTTGGTTTTTTACTGCTAAAACTCCATAACGGGAAAACCAATACCAAAAAAAAATAATAATAATAACAGACACACACAAACCGTGTACCGGTAATGAACACACCTGTGCTTCAAATATCCATCCTCTTTTACGCTAGATGTTTGTTTGTGCAACCTCAGCGGTCCGTCTGCCCAGATGGAATGTCTCACGCGTATTGTTTAGTCTTCACAGCTGATGTAACACCCCATATATATTTGCTGTATTAATATCCCTTAATTCATGCTTAACATCCCATCATAATTTTAACCATAATTAGGCAAACAGATACAATTACCTTTCACACCCTTTCTTAATGATAAATCTTTAATTAATTCTAGGGGATCTCATGATCTCAACCATTGATTGGGAATCAATCTATGGATATCAGGAGATCTCACAGGATCATCTAATTAGGGGGGTGCACCGGATTCGAAGCCTATATATATATATATATATATATATATATATATATATATATATATATATATATATATATATATATATATATATATATATATATATATATATATATGAGTAATATTATTCTATGCAAAATATATGTTGCATTTTGGAGGTTTGGTTTTCTTTAATGTTGGAATATGTGAATTATGAAGATTACCTTGATCACTGGACATGAAGATTGTTAGGAATATAGCGGAATAATGCGGAAGCGAAGAATCGAAAATTGAGAATTATAGAAGTTAAATAATAGGAAAATATATAAAATGACAAAATAAATTAATAAGGATGGGAATATATATATATATATATATATATATATATATATATATATATATATATATATATATATATATATATATTAATCTCTATAAAGAGAATGCTAACAAAATATATATATATTTCTACGTGAAAGAAAGAAAAATGGATAAGATTGAATTCAAAACTTTGAATTGATGTAAGAATAAGAGGTGTATTGAAAGAAAACAAACTAAGCCTATTTATACAAAAATTTAGACTAAATGTTGCGGCAAACAAATGGAAATCCGGCAAAGTCGGTGACGACGTGAAGACATGGAGCAGGTAATGCGAAGACATGCAGTAGGCAACGTGGTCTTCATGAATGTGAGCCACACAATATTATGGAATTGAGCCACAAAAATTATTATTCTAACAATCTCCACCTTGGATCAAATCTATTGTGGCATTAACAACTGGAACAGTCGACTAAACTCAAACACTGCTTGAACTTAGTAACAGGAAGAACCTCAGAATAGTAGGATGGATCACCATCAACTTCCTATGCGACTGAAAGAGCATAAGCAACCATGTTGGTTTCATCATCACTAGCATACCTAGCAGGTTTTTTAATTGTCCTCCTAGGACGATCCATAGCAATGGAATACTCTCGTTGTGGCACGACGAGAGGTGCGGTGCTAGTAGATGCATCATCTTTAGTATTACCATCAGCAGTAGTAACACTATCAATAGGCCTGAACTCAAACTCCACATTTTCACCAGTACTTTGCGTCTCACCTGTACTGGGAACTTTTCCAGAAGAAAGTAGTGCATTTTCGTCAAAAGTGATATCTCGACTCAGAATGATTTTCTGAGAATCAGGAGACCATAGACGATACCCTTTTGACTCAGAAGCATAACCAAGGAAAATACATTTGACAGCTCATGGGTTTAATTTACCCGTACTGGAATGAGCATAAGCAGGACATCCAAAAACTCTTAAGATAGAGTAGTCAACAGGATTACTTGACCAAACTTCCTCTGGAATTTTGAAATCAAGGAATGAATGTGGAGATCTATTTACCAAATAGCATGAAGTAGAAATGGCCTCGGCCCAAAAATCACGCCGTTTCCATAACCCAGCATTAGAGAGCATACAACGAGCTCTTTCCAATAGAGTCCTATTCAAACGTTCGGCAACGCCATTCTGCTGGGGTTTACCAGGCAAGGTCTTGTGCCTGGCGATTCCATTTGCCGCACAAAAGTCATTGAAATCTGAGTCACAGAACTCCAAGCCATTGTCTGTCCTGAGCTTCTTGACTTTTTTACCTGTCTGAGTCTCAACAAGTATTTTCCACTTCTTGAAAATAGAAAATGCCTTATTTTTATGTTTCAGGAAATAGACCCAGACTTTACGAGAGAAGTCATCAATAATAGACATAAAATATCTACAGCCTCCCATAGACTGGAATTTAGTTGGTCCCCATAAATTGGAATGTATGTATTCCAATACATCTTTGGTACGGTGTGTAGCAGTAGAGAAACTAACCCTCTTTTGTTTCCCAAAAACACAATGCTCACAAAACTGTAATTTACCCGTACCTGAACCACCAAGGAGACCTTTCTTGCTCAGGAGATACATGTCTTTCTCACTCATATGCCCCAGACGCATTTGCCATAGTTGAGTGAGATCCGCATCAGACATTGATGAGGATACCGCTACTGAACCTGTCACAGTACTGCCATGCAAGACGTACAAGCTTCCAGAACGAGAAGCTTTCATGAGAACAAGAGAGCCTTTTATGACTTTCAGAACTCCACCTTCAGCTATGTACTTTCACCCCAGAGATTCCAAGGTGCCCAAGGATATTAGATTGCGTTTCAAATCAGGAATATACCGAACATTGGTAAGAGTCCTGATAACGTTGTCATGAGTTTTAATCTGCACACTTCCAATTCCACGAACCTTGCATTGGGTATCATTACCCAGCAAGACAACATCACCATCAACCGGTTCCAGAGAGACGAACCAGTCTTTGTGAGGACACATGTGGAATGTACAACCAGAGTCCAGAATCCACTCGGTTTCGCTCCGCTTGCAACCGGAGCTAACAGATAACATAACATCGCATTCTGAATCACTTTCAACAACACTAGCTTCAGCGGACTTCTTTTCTCTCTCTTGCTTGTTTTTCAACTTGAAGCATTCAGTCACATCATGACCCTACTTCTTGCAGTACTTACAGGATTTGTTGGACTTTCGTCCTTTGGACTTGGATCTAGAATTTTTATTGCTACTCCCTGATTCAAGTGAACAACCCCTTACGGTCAAGCCTTCACCTTTGTCCTCAGACTTAATTTCAAAGTCAAACTTTTATTTGGATAATAGGTTTGACTTAACATTGTCGAAAGTAAGGGTATCACTACTATTACCATACAGCATAATTTCTTTGAAATGCTTGTATGATTTAGGGAGAGAGACAAGCAATAAAACAGCGCGATCCTCATCGTCAATTATGACATCAATATTTTCCAAGTCCAATAAAATAGAATTGAATTCATCCAAGTGAGATTTAATAGAAATACCTTCCGTCATACGGATTGTGTACAGACGCTCCTTCAGGCGTAGCGTGTCCGCCAGAGTTTTGGCCATGTAAAGCGTATCCAGCTTGGACCATAAATCTGACGCAGTCGTCTCACTTACTACCTCACGTAGAACCTCTTTAGACAAGCACAAAAGAATGGTTGAATGTGCCTTGTCATCCAAATCTTCCCAATCTTCATCTGTCATTGTAGCCAGTTTCTTCTTCTTCCCAGCTAACGCTTTCTTCAAACCGTTTTGGGTTAGAACGGCTTCCATCTGAACCTTCCAGATAGAAAAGCTAATTTTCCTATCGAACTTCTCGATATCGAACTTGGTAACAGTCGACATCTTTGAAAATAACTCTCAATTAAACCGCTCTGATACCACTTGTTAGGAATATAGCGGAATAATGCGGAAGCGAAAAATCGAAGAGAATTATAGAAGTTAAATAATAGAAAAATATATAAAATGACAAAATAAATTAATAAGGATGGGAAAATATAAATATAAATATATATATATATATATATATATATATATATATATATATATATATATATATATACACATATATATATCTACGTGAAGAAAGAAAGAATGAATAAATGAATTCAAATTTTGATGTTGATGTAAGAATAAGAGGTTTATTGAAAGCAAACAAACTAAGCCTATTTATACAAAAACTTAGACCAAATGTTGCGGCAAACAAATGGAAATTCGGCAAAGTCGGTGGCGACGTGAAGACATGGAGCAGGTAATGCGAAGACATGCAGCAGGCAACTTGGTCTTCATGAATGTGAGCCACACAATATTATGGAATTGAGCCACAAAAATTATTATTCTAACAAAGATCGTTGTGATCCGGTTCGTGGCTTCTTATGTTGTTGCCCGGAAAACTGGCTACACCTATTGATGCCACCACCGTTTGTGTAGGTGCCGGAGATTGAAGAAACCAATG